ACCTTATATTTCTTTATATCCTATCTATTCATTTCTTATTACCTTATATTTCTTTATATCCTATCTATTCATTTCTTATTACTTTATATTTCTTTATATCCWATCTATTTTTCTTACTGTACAATATATTTTCTTTATAATCAGTTTCTTACAGTATTCTATATTAAAAAAATCCGAACGACTTAACGACTTAATTTTATATGTATTACATTAAATATTTTGAACAAATATACCATGCGATTTGAATCTGGATAGATTTAGATAGCTAGCCGGAAGTTCCACGACAAAATGGTCGACAAGAGCAAAAAGAAAAAAAAAGAAAAAAAAAAAAAAAAAAAAAAAAAAAAAAAAAAAAAAAAGAAAAGAAAAGAAGGAAAGAAAGAAAGGAAAGGAAAAAAAAAAACAAAAAAAAAAAGAAACGTTGGCGCGAAATCTATTTTTTCTAGAATTGTAGACTTCAAATTTACCAGCCAGCGAAAGGAGTGTTAGCTCTCAGCCCTTAGAGAAAAAATATCACCCTTCATTCTTTCAAATCAAACAACTAGGCTAATATATTGGTTTGATAACTCTCAAAGAGTATTTGCAAAAGCTATAACCAGGTTAACGATCTACCGAATGCACCAAATTGAGCAGGTGTTGCCAATAAATTGCTCTTTGAAAGAAAAAAATACAGGTGTTTCCTTTACTTTAGACTTCGATTAAGTTTTTTTTTTCGTGTTCTCAAGATAATCTTCCATTTCTAAAAAATCCTGATTAACTGCATTACGCGTCGACAACCTTTTACTGAAATTCACAAAAAAAAAAAAAAAAAAAAAAAAAAAAAAAAAGATTTGGCGCGAAAAGAAAATTACTTGACTCTGTGCCTGTTAACCTTACGGCTTCCCTTCAAAACCAATGAAAGAGCAAAAACATATTTTTTATCCAATCACATTGTGGCATGAATTAAGGTACAAGACACATTAATATGTAACATAGAATTATTGAAAAATAATTTTAAAATCTTAAAAATAAAAAGTATATATATAAATCTTTGCTTTTGCTAGACTTACTCTCTTTGAATTCCTTCTGCGGCATTTGTTATAGATACAAAACGTAGCTTGTTTCTTGAACATTGCATCAGTTTCGACGTCATGGATTTGGCTGTCAATTCTTGTACGAGGCTCGGAATACTCCTTTTGACTTTGCGTTTTTTCTGTGAATACCAAGAACAAAAGACAAGCAACTAAAACTACGCTAACTGTAGACATGACACTAGTTGAAGAAAGTAACTCTAAGATTGAATGTATTGAATGTAATAGGCGGAAGGTAATCTCGATGTGTTGWCAGGACTTCAACGTCCTTAAATACTTTCCTGGCTTCCCGGAAACCTTAATATTTAATTGAAAATTACATGTAGTGGGAGTTCTTAACACTGAATGATGCATAAGGCATACATCACAAAATACATTAACGTATGTTAAGTTATAAAATTAATTACCCTTCTGGCTGTTAATTGCCTCATTTCAGGTTAGGGTCAAAACGCTATYATCCGGCGCCTTTTTAACATCTGTTATTTACTATTACGCAAGTTGGCATTTCAAAATCTAGTCATTCGGCAACATTAGAACATCTTTCTAACGCTTTGGAAGAAATGACTACAAAACAAAATATTACCGTTAGTATATCCCTTAGTACCTCCTGATTTTCCGTTTCAAAATTTCTTGACATCATTTATTACCGTTAAAGCGAAAGAAAGCAAGAAAGAAAGAAAACAAATAAAAAGCATAAAAAGAGTTTTAGGTAATGGAAGTAGTAGTAGTAG